ACGTATCCTCCCCGATCATTTATTTCAAGGTTCCTATCTTTTCGCGGTTAAATGACAGTTATGTGTTTCGTATACAATAAAAGCCATGATGGAGCGTTGCTCCCCTCCCATCTAATTTGTTCGACTGGTAAAATTACAGCGAGATTAAAATCTGGTGCTTAATTTTACTAACGATTTGCTTCCGGGGGCGGGGGAACTATAATTGAAGCAATTTATTGAAAAGTATTTACGCCAGTAGTTTTGTAAGCTCAGCTTGTAGAAGATTAATCAGTTATACAGGGTGTAAAAAAGTCCAGTGGAAGTTATTTTTCAAAATAACAAATACCTATTCATCCACATGCGTACTTTGAGAACCGCTGCTGTTTACATGGAAGGTTGATTGCCAAGACATGTGTCAAGAAAATTATTTAGAGTAAGGCTTCAATCTGTTCAGAGCAAATTAGAATTAAATCAAAATTTTAATTTCGTAATAACGAAAACCGTAAATGACTAGAAAGTTAAATACTAAGTTTACTTAAAAAGCAGCCACTTAAACAATTACTATAAAATATGTGCACAACAAAATTTCTGGCGCATATTTCTGGGATACCCTGTGTAAGTACACATTTAAGATCCGCCCTGAATGTTACACGGATATGCCATTGCCATTATATACCGCACACTATAATTTATGCTGTCCTAGGATGGATCAATCTGCTTGAAGCAATTAATTCATTTGTTTCATTCAGCTGGGCTAATTTGATTTCTGGTAAGGCAATGCGGTAATTGTAATAAATAGATCAAATTTCTAAGCGGATAGCGCTCACAGCAAAGCATATCTGTCTTAGGAGTTAAGACAAACAATCTGACCTAAATCCGGAATTTACGGCAATAGCAATAAAATCATTATATTCTGCATTCATGGCTGGAACCTATTCCCCCTAATTCCCGATAATATTTCGCTTGAAATTATCCTAAGGCGGTGGGGTAACTTTAAATGGTTGGGTTAACTTTTCCGTGAAATAAAAGTTAGCCGAAAAGTCGATATTTAATTTCTCTTTTTTATATCAAGCTTAATTAATGAAAAGATGGACGGTTTTATACATTTTTAATCAGATTAATTAATGAAATTTCTGGTATTCTTTTTGCGGAGGAATAATTTGCAGACAAGTTTAAACATGTTAAATATCGTAAACTTTTCACATCCCAGTTTTTTAAACGTATTTTCAACGTGCCATTGGTTAATAATTCGTGCTACTGTTTCACCTTGAGGCAAGAATTCAAAAATCAAAATCCACAATTCCATTAAAGCCGAAAGAAACAATGAACATCACACTGCCATAGTGAGACCATTGTTGTCCAAAAATCCAACAGACAGCAGCTAAACAGAAGCTCAGCCAGGTGCAAAGAATAGCTTGCCTGAGAGTTACCGCAGCTAACACCAACGTTAGCAATGGAGGTGATGCTATGTCTGCCACCCTTAGATATTTATCTAAAGGAGGTGGCTCTGACAACTATGCTTCGCTTCAAGAATGTTAATGTTAAACCAAATATAGGATGTGGAGAAGTCAGGTGTCGCCTATGAAGCTCTCAAGAAGATGCCTTTTCTGCAGGCAGATACTGACAGCATTTCGCCTCAGTTTGTGTATTGACAGATCTTACACAGTACTCATCAAAAATGAAGAGGAGACGCCAGTGAGGGTGTAATTAACATCATCACTGACGGATCAAAAAGGAAAGAAGGTACAGGATGTGGGATCTATTCTAGATCCGATTCTAGATCCCATATCAGTGGGCTATGGATGTACGAGCCACCGTGATACAAGCGGAACTGGCAGGTATAACTTTAGCTGCTAAAGAAATTGCTCGAAGGCAGATAACGGACAAAAGTATTAGAATCTACACAGATGGTAGACAACCAGTACTGATCTTGTATAATCGGAAGATAATGTCCAGATCGGTATGGGAATGCCACCAAGCGCTGGTGGTGGCCTCAACTACCAACAGCATATCTGTACGCTGGGTTAAGAGACACGACCGGTACAATGGCAATAAAGAAGCTGACAAGCTAGCTAGGAGGGCATCGAGTCTTGGACCCGATGTCTCCAGTGTGTTCTCGTTGTCAGCACTTTCTGATATTATTAAGAAAAACACCCACACAGAGTTTAGAACACGGTGGGAGAACAGTGGCCTTCTATGGCCTACATCAGCGAGATCCCCCTGAGCAACGTCATCATCTCTTTCTCCTTGATAGGTTGGTCGACGGCTCAGGAGAGCTGATCTCTCGCTGGGAGGTTGCATACAAGGTACAAATAAGAAGTGGATCTTATTTGTGGAAGGGCGAAATGGGCGGTGACTATTAGACGCCTTCATTATAGTCATCTTTCTCTATCGCACGGATTTCTATGACTTTCTTTATCGCTCTCACGTAACGGCCGATAAACTTTCCGACCCTGTATATGTTTATTATAAGTGCACGGTTTCAATCATTCAATGTGCATTTCAACGCATTGCAGCCAACTTAAGTTTCTAGTCAAACTTAATTTTGTATGAGATAGCATGTTTTTCCTTAAAGATCTCAGCTACCATGTTTTCCAACCTTAATTTGAGATAGTATGTTTTCCCAGCTCAATCTGAGGTAGCATGTTTTCCACGCACAATTTAGGTAGCATCTTTTCCATGTACAATTTTAGATAGCATGTTTTCCAAGCTAAATTTGAGATAGCATGTTTTCATAGTAACGCGTCGATCTATTCTCTATATGACCTCCTCTCATTTCAAGACACATATCCAATCTTCACCTGACTTCTTTGTGGGTTGCGTTTGTTAACATTTCGCCGTTTAACTCATTACAAGCGTTTGTGTTGGTTTTTTCTTTCGAATGATTAATATCTCGCCAAAATGTTTTATAAAACACCCCATAACAAAGTTGAGGGGTACTAGATTTGGTGACTTTCTGGGCCTCTGAATAGGTCCATTAAGCCCAATCCATTTTTCTGGAAAATTGTTATCTAAATATTGCTGCTGGGGTGGATTTTCAATGGACCAGTAATGTTCGTTGCGCCTGTTTGGCAACCCATTACTGACAAACCGACCTTCATCCGTTCAAAGAACGTGCCGAAAAAGGTTCTGATCAGCAGTTTCTACATTTACTACAATTTGAGCTACAAAATTAAGTTTGTTTTCAATGTGACGCTCAGGCAAATACTACAAATTGTGAATTTTATAGCCATGATACCCATCGGTCTTTAAAATTCGTTTAACGACTGATTTATCCAAATTCAATTCCCGGCTAGCCTGCCATATAGAATTTTGTGGATTTTGTTCAAAATACTGTCTAGCTAATTATTTGATTTTTCCGAACAGAAAATGCATCTTCATTTCGTCGCAAGGTTGCCTCCAATCTTGTAAAGGTTCTATGATCAAGAATGAGGCGCTCTGAATACCTTTCTTGATACAACTCTTCTTGATTTTTTTGTGACTCGTAAATTAGCAACATATCAACTTTTTCTGAATGAGAAAACATTTTGTAAGCACAAAAGTTATACGTTTGACGTTCGTATTGAGTAATGACAAGTATTTTGTGATATTTATGTACTTTAAACAACGAACATTCAATGATTTTCCAACGACTACTTGATCCTTCCACCGCTAATGTGATTTTTAGGTTGGTATTTCTTTTGAGACTCTTTAGAATATTGCTTATAACTTTTAAACGGAAAGTAATACAGAAAAATTTAATTGATGACGTCATTAGTCGTTTTTGTCAAATCCCAAAGATAATACTTTCGATTGTGTCCCAAATTTTATTTAAATTTGTTGTATCCTCACAGTAGGCCCATACTATCGAGTTTGAGACACCCTGTACATAAAAATGTCACGTTTCTCTAATGGCGTTTGTATGTAAATAATACACAGAAAAAAAGCACTTTAGTAAAAGCTCCTTCTTAACTTCAGCAGCGGTTCTCAATATGTTCGTACTTTTTTATTAAGTAAGGTCAGTACTTTTTTACTTTTTGCATTTAAGTAATATTAAGATTTAAGGTAAAATAAAGTTATTCTCAAAAAATAATTTCCAAGTTTGTATACACTCTGTACATTGCGCATTGAAGACCAGTAAATTTGGAGAGATTTCATATGACCCGGTATTTCATAAACTTCGTTTATTTTCAGCGCTCTATAAACTTACCGGCTGCTGCTGAAACTGTTCCCAAAAAATAAGGCAATAAGAATTCAATTAGTTATCGACCGATTCCCTCGTTCTCCCAGACCATTAACGTATAACTGCCGAAGTACCTCGATCAACTCTCGACAGACCGACGATACCGGATCATCTCGACGACTAATCGAAAAGTTTGGGAATTCGAATACGGGCCCAGGTATATTTAAGACTGTTAATGGAGTCTGCCACCCAAGTATTTTAAATAAACCTCCATCTATCACCATTCTCTTCCCTTTGTTCCGAAATCTCACCTACCTACAGGGCCTTATTTTTTTTCTACTGGCAACATATTTTTTATTTTTATTATTACTTATTCTAATTTAGATAATTAAGGTAAAAAGGACTTTTAAATTCATGAGAATTAAACAGTTCCTTTAATTTAACCTATATAAGATTTCAGCGAATTTCTTAATCCGAGATTGACATAATAAGCTTTTACCTTATCCAACTTTTCTAAAAGAATTAGAGCAAATCTGCATCAAACTAGTAGTCGCTAATTGCTTTCTTTATATAAAATTTAGTGGAATGGATTCCTTATCAAGTTGGGAAAAACTTTCTCGCAAACGTAAAGTTTCTAAAGAAAATTTGCAGTTTGGTATTTTTAGATCAAAGTTCAGAAGTCGCAAGTTAAATAGTTTAACCGGAACAATTTAGGTACAATCTAGGCAGTAACTCTATTTCCATTTAGATCTAGTGGGCGACAGCTTGCCTTATATGTTTGTCCATTGTTCTGAAGGTACGTGATATCTCCCAGTTCTCGGACTGATACATATTGATACAAATTAATAATAATACTTACAGTGTTTTATATTGGTGGTATCATCAGCAGTTTATAGTAGAGCTATGCTGTCCAGCGGGTCACCAGTGGTGCCTGTGCATGAGTTTATTGAGGGAGTGTTTGGTCCCATGCGTTGCATCAAAATTGTTTCGGTTCCGTCAGAGTTGGCTGAAACAAAACAAAAATATCTTTCATGGACGAACTACAGTCGTATCTCAAAATAATAGGCAGTGATTTCATCTTTCTTCTCCCACAGCAGTCGATACTGCACAGTTTTAGGAATTCTGCTGCAGCAAATTCTAGACTTTCATTGGTGTTTGGTGTGTGACGTCAATTGGGTTGCGTTCATTCGGATCCGGGTAATTCTGTCGGCCAGGCAAATAGGCGTACGATATCTTTCCGTTGATTTAATTGTGATTGTAATTAATTTATTAGAAATTTTGGGTTTGTATCCTTAAAATGGAGAGTAATTCAAGCTCTACAGCGTATTCTCGTAATGGTAAGCGCCCTCATCTAACAAAGCAGAAATGTCAGACGATAAAAACTGTGTATGAAGAAACCAAAATATGAGTGTAAGTGGTACTGTTGAAATGAGCAGTTCATTAACAAGAGTGTCGGTGAGAAGTGTATATCGTGCAATAAGGAGCAGCAAAGAAGACTCGATTGCGAAACGGAAAAGGGTGGAAACTCGCGGAAGGAAAAAGATAGAATCACGACGAACAGGAGACTATCAAGAGGATATGGATAGCAAAGCATTTGAAAAATCTGTTTTGCCACATGTGGAACCTGGTGCTGTAATTGTAATGGATAATGCACCCTATCATAGTCGACGATTAGAGAAGTTGTCAACATCAGCATGGAGAAAGACGGAAATTATAGACTGGTTAAGATCGAAAAAGATCAAATTCGACGAAACAATGCTTAAACCCGAATTATTGAAAATCACGGAGTGAGAAGAAGGCCAATACATTAAGTATGTCCGAAACGACGGCACTCAACAATTGTGGAGAGGATGACAGGTGAGTCTATCTCTTTTTAAAGTAAATATTAACCGTGAACTTATTTTTTATAATTTTCTGTTCTTTGACCCCTTCTTAAGTAGTACGCCTATGGAATCTTGTCCCCTGCACGCCTCACCACCCTTACTAGTCTAAGTGCTGGATATGAATCATTGCCCATTTTTATGGTACACGAGTATAGTTTTAAGTAAATACGCCTCAGTTCTACTTCAGCAGCCATAACAGTTTAAATTTAAGAAGAATCCTATCTTATTCCGAGGGCTTACGAGGAGCAACGAAGGTAGTCTTCAGTGTTCAGTTAAAATGTGACATTGTGGCTTCCGAAACGCCGCTACTACCAGCTGACTTCACACCTGGTATGATATGACGGAATGGTAAACGGGTAAAAAGCACACTGACATTTATAGTAAGTTTTAAACTAGTATTTAGTGAAGTGTCAAGGCAAGTCGTCACTTTTCGCGGCCAAGTGTGGGAGCGAGAGCTTTTAATATGGACAAGATGACTTCACGTATTAGCTATTCATGCACGAAATCCAGTTTTACCAACCTTTTTGAGTGGTAGAAGGGGCGGCGAATGAAGTAGTGGGACCAGAACCGGAATTGTTGTATTTGTTGTAAGCAGCACTATTCATTGTAAGTTTCCTCACGTTCTTGTCGGGGTGGAGTACGATGATGTAGACTTTGGGCGAGTAGAGACAAACCAGAGCAACAGTAGCGTTCATGCTAGTCGCAACGCACAGGGTGGTGATTTGGGTCTGGAACAGGGGAAGCTTATTGTACAATAGGAGATACAGTCATTGAAATTGTGATGAGAAATGTTTACAGTTACATATAAATGTTAATTGGACTTTTTGCGGTGACTCGGTATGTATTATTGGACATGCTTTTGTTGATCTTACAATCTACAGTTGTCGCATGACTTTAAAATTTTCCCTAACACGTTCGGCACCTTTATGACGCGACGTTTTATTGTAATCCGTTAAAGTGCTACTAGGCCTGCATTGAAATTAGAGGCATTTCCGGAATTGATTGGGTTGGAAACATCACAGAACGAATGGATCGGAAATTTCTTAAATAGAGTTTAGAAACGATTTTCCGTGAACGTTCGAGAGAAAGCATTGTCCTGTTTCCCAATTTAATAGCGTGTATTTGTTTATCTCCAAATTGATCAATTTTTTGCACCATAGGGAATAACTGACCGTATGCAGTGGCGTAACAATTTACCTTCCAAAATGAAACAAGTTAATTTAATTGAACGAATAAGAGAAACTCTCCCGTGTGGTTTTATTTCATTAACTTGTCCAAATTGTTCTGTAGAGTAAAATTTGATCCCTGGATAAGTATAATTCGAGATTTACGCGTATTTAATACAAATCTTGCGGTGATAGAAAGTGAGGTTTGAAAGTTAAGTTTATATAAGTACAAAGTTAGGACCACAAGTAATAGAGAACATCTTACGAGTTTAGTAGTGCACGGTGTTAAGTATTCACAAGTTGAAAGCGGTTTAACTCGGTAAATTTTACTTTGGAAAACGACTCGAAGCCAGAAGTTGCGAAAACTGAAAACTGAGTTTTATTAACTGTGTAAAATAGATCATATATCAAACAATATTACAATACTGAACTGTATCGAGTTTAGAATAAATTTGTACCTATTATATACAGTGTGTTTCAGATCAAGCAAATACAGAGCCATAACTTCCTTCACAAGAGAGATAGAGAAAATGTTTTGACCATTGTTTAAAGGCCATCTTTGGTATAGTCTTTCTGAAGTCAGTTGAATATGTATAAAAACACCCAGCAATAAAATTTAATGAGTTTCATAGGCGTCTCTAAAGAAGTTTTATACTAAAGGTAAAAAATTATAATAATTTATATGTAATGTGTAGAAAATTTCCGTTATATGTTCATTTGGCCAACAACATATTTTAATTACTTATGTCCTCAAACAATGTTGCATGTTATTATATTGATGGTAAATTTACTTTTGTTCCGTTTCAAAAGGTCTCCAAAATGCCGTGTTGTAATAATATTAGTAAACAAAATATCCCTCTTATTTCTCCCTTTCGTAATTGTAACATGAATGATTAATATAAGGTGCCTATAATAAATTAAAATTACCTGAATCACACCAAATTCTGCATTGCTGCACTGCATTGCTGGGCAATTTGTCAACCACTTGTCAACAACTGAGATTTATTGCTCAGTCGCCCAGTGCAGCTGTGTTTGTATTCGTTTGGCCGCGCTGGTACATACTGTCAACATCTTGCTTCTTAAATTGATATCGGAAAGACTATACCTCGTGTTAATGAACCGCCGCGCCGTTGTCGCATTGCTCGATATGAATATTATCGAATTTTAAATTTATTACAACGCTAATTATTTGTTAGAATTAAGCATAAAGAAGTTAAAAAAAGTGATATACATTGTATTTTATGGTATTCTATGCACGCAGTTATGTCAATATTCCTTAATTAATCGAATCAAGTTGGAGATTTTAATAATTTCTTTCTCGGAAACGGTTGGGACCCATGTCATATAAGGTTTTTTAATTTTTTTAATATATTCTATAGTCTGATAAACTTAAGGCAGTCAAACTTCTAACACCCTGCATTGTAAAATAATTTTATTAAGAAAATATTACTCATGGCCATTATCGGCTATTTTGTTTTTCTCTCTGGTGACTATGGCACTATGGAAACAAGAAGTGCACAAAGATGGTCTTAAAATAACAGTCAAAAAATTTTTTCTCTATCTCCCTTGCGCAGAAGTTATGGCCCTGTATTCATTTGAAATGAAGCACACTGTATATAGTTTCGTGAAAAGTAAAACAAATTTTATTTTAAAGCATATTTTAAAGAACGGGTTAATTAAATTTTCGTTTCTATGGATTCGTAGAGTAAAATAAATGCACTCTACCTTTGGATAATGTATTTTTCGCTTTCCTTCTGAACGCAGATCTGAAGTTTATTAGGATCATTTCACGGATCTGTCCGTTACGTAACAGTCTCCGAAATAAAAGCAAATAACAACAGAACTATTCCGTGTTAAAAATTAGGTTTTATGAAAGTAATACTTTCATAAAACCGTAAGTCAACTAGTTCAATAACAACGTTAGTTATTACTGTCTCGGATTTCAGATATCCTGTCCCTCATACATAACGTGATATTACATGGGAAAAACTGAATTGGTAATAAGTTCTATTGTTTTTCCTCCGCCTTTATTTCTCCCCAGAGTGCACGATTGCGCGCTTTGCCTCCGCAAGCCTTAGCGAATTCAGGAGGAATCAAATAAAATATGACGAAAAATCTATTTGCTTAGCTGTGTGCCTTATCAATGCCAAAGACGATTGAAATAAATGATAGGTGTATGATGTACGCCTTTTGTCCTTAACTTCAGCATCCATTTCGGAGCACTTTGCGTTGCTTTACAGTGCAACATATTCAGTTTCAGTAAAAAAAATTCAGGAACGTATTGGGAAAATTTCCATTTCTTTGTGGTTACTATTATTAGATCTAGTATATTGAAGGTACTCGAATCAGCAAAGCAAGCCATTCGTTTGATTTTTTTTCCACACTTTATTCAAATTTGTTGGAAAATATTAGTTTTAACTGTTATCATCGTTGAAATAATATTAAAAAGAGTGGGTAAAAATGTGTCAATCATAATTTAATTCTAAATTCAACGTTAGAGAAAGTGTGGAAAAAAAATAAAATGCTTTAAGTTACGTTATAAGAAACAGTACAAAAAAATATACAAGGTGAACTTTCTGTATGGTCACAAAATAATGGAAATTTTCCGAATAGGTTCTGGAATTTCCGAATTCTGACATAGTTTTTTTCCACACTTTATTTAAATTTGTTGGAAAATATTAGTTTTAACTGTCATAATCGTTAAAATAATATTAAAAAAGTGGGTAAAAATGTTGCAATCAAAATTTAATTGAAATTCAACGTTAGAGAAAGTGTGGCAAAAAATTTGCCAGTGGTTTATGTAGTTTCAAAACGCTATATGAAACAGTACAAAAATATACAAGGTGAACTTTTCTGTATGGTCACAAAATAATGGAAATTTCCCGAATAGGTTCTGGAATTTTCGAATCCCGACATAGTTTTTTGTGCACATTTCATTCAAATTTGTTTGAAAATATCAGTTTTAACTGTTATTTATCATTGTTAAAATAATATTCAAAAGTGGATAAAAAATGTGTCGATTCAAATTTAATTGCAAATTCAACGTTAGAAAAAATGTGGCAAAAAAATAAAATGCTTTAAGTTTACTAGCAATTCATGTATTTTCAAAAGGCTATAAGAAACAGTGCAAAAAATATACAAGGTGAACTTTCTGTATGGTCACAAAATAATGGAAATTTTCCGAATAAGTTCTGGAATTTTCGAATTCTGACATAGTTTTTTTCCACACTTTATTCAAATTTGTTGGAAATATTAGTTTTAACTGTAAAAAGGTGGGTAAAAATGTGTCAATCAAAATTTAATTGTAAATTGAACGTTAGAGAAAGTATGGCAAAAAAATAAAACACTTTAAGTTTACCAGTGGTCATGTATTTTCAAAACGGTATAAAAAACATAAAAATATACAAGGTGAACTTTTCTGTACGGTCACAAAATAATGGAAATTTTCCGAATAGGTTCTGGAATTTTTTATTCCTGACAGAGTGAGTCTGTTGTAGACAAAGATAAGTCATAAATTTTGACTCAATATCTACAAATCGTCATGAAATAGCCCTTATAGTAATAACGTTAACAAGTAAAACAACCTAGAGATAAAAAATGGTATATTTACCTCATACGCCTTGCCAGTGCCAAAGTAGATTGGGATGAATGCCAGCCATATGATGCATGTGGTGTACATAGTGAAACCGATGAATTTAGATTCGTTAAAGTTCTCAGGGATTTTGCGGGTCTTGACAGCGTAAACAGTGCAGGTTGTGATTAGGACCATATTGTAGAGCTGGCTGAATAAAAAGGACATATCCTGGATTTTGCATTTTAGTATAATCTGGAAAAATGAAATGTTTTCGAATTAAAAATTAGTTATACCAGTTTATTGTGATTGTTAAAGGGCTCCGTACACGTTTAATCGCGTTCTCAGATTTATCTGCGCATTTTTAATACTCTTTACAAAAACAGAGTAATATTAACATTTGAAATAATGTTTGTAACGTATTTCGAGATACGTCCGCCGGGATATTTTACAGTTACAGTTAATAACGGCACAGTTGAAAAGGTTTCCGCAATAATAATAATTTCGTCATTTTGTCTGACTCTGCTCTTCCGCTTCCATTACTTGGAGCTTGGTTATTAGTAGACCAGCCGTGGGTTTGATTGTAAATTTTGAAACACTCCTACGACCTTTTTCAGGTAGGATAGGTATTTAGTGGACCTTCCGGGGTAATAGTTTTTATTGTCCTTTTAACCCCATAACCGTTAGTACAGGGTGTCTCAAACTCGATAGTATGTGCCTGCTGTGAAAATATTTAGATAACACTTTCCCAGAAAACTAGATTGGGCTTAATGGACCTATTCAGTGGTCCGGAAAGTCATCAGATCTAACACCCCTCGATTTTTTTTATGGAGGGTTTTAAAAAATAAGGTTTACAGAACACCTTCGCGAGATATTAATCATTTGAAAGAAAAAATCACAAACGCTTGTAATGAGTTAAACGGCGAAATGTTAATTAACGCAGCCCCCAAAGAAGTCAGGCGAAGATTGGAGATGTGTCTTGAAATGAAAGGAGGTCATATAGAGAATATATTGTAATATGTATGTATGAAAGCGTTTACCTCATTTTTTAAGTTTAGTTATTGTTATCATCACCTTTTGTTTTATCTGTATTAAAGAATTATCGAGTTTAATCCTTTTATTTATTACTACTTGATCCATCCACCGCTAATGTGATTGCTTATAACTTTTAAACGGGAAGTAATACAGAAAAATTTCTCTAATAAAAGCTTATTAGAAAAAAAGAGAGCTTTTTAACAGGAAAAAATTTTGGGTATGTTTCCGGAAAAAATATAATTGAGACGTCATTAGTCGTTTCTGTCAAATCCCAAAAATAATACTTTCGATTGAAAATGGAGCTTACCTCATTCCGTTTAACACCACGTGTCTCAAATTTTATTTAAATTTTTTGTACCCTCACAGTAGGTACATATTATTGAGTTTCAGAGACCCTGTAAATACCTTCGCTGTTACGGTTTTTTTAAAGTTATAGTAGAATGTATAGTATTAAAATAACCCTGTTCTAATTTAATTTTTAATAATAATAATATTGATTGTAAATTGAATAAAATACGAATTACTTTTCGAAAGGTGGGAAAAAGTTCTATTCTGTTATTTCTGTTGAGATCTAAATAAAAACTGGTTCATTAAAATTGTTCATTTAGCAGGAATAAATGAAACAGATTATAGCTGGGGAGTGTTTCTCTCGATTTTCCGAGAATTCAGCTGCTGAAAAGACGCAGGATGTATTTTCTAAAAAGTTCAAAGCAAATAAGATTTTATTTAAAAAGGCCTTGTTTTAACATTAATTTATTTCTTTGCGTAACAAAGTGGAATGCGGATTTATTAAATAACTTCATTGGCAAGAAAACCACTTAGAAAATGGCGACAGAAGCGTTTTTTAGTATACTTAATTTTATTCGTAAAAATTAAATTCCTTAAAATTGCCACGGTTTTAGTTAAATTAATTCAAGTCCTTTATGAAGCACTTTTAATTCCACGAAGTAAAGATGTAAAATACGTACAGAACTCTGGGTCCCATTTAAACAGAGTATGCAACACTTAAATCTTATAACATTTTGAATCATCTGATAAAGGCTTGAACCTATATCAGTCTGGATTTTAATACCTCTTCAAATCAGTTGGAGTTGCGATCACCACAAACGGGCTTGCAACAAAACCCAAATTTCGTTCGAATTACAGGAACAAATCCTATACCAATGTTTCGTTGTTGCTCTTATCCTTGGCGGTGCAACTTGTCTAAGGAAGTAAAATATGGCGCGACAGACTATTAATTTGTATAGCAGTTGACGATATGTTAAGTTAAAAGCTGCGTTCCACAATGTCAACAACAGAGGTGAAATAATTTAAGTTCTGGTGGTGAAGCGAATATAACCCGACTTCAAGTAATGCCTGAATCTGATAAATCCGACTTCAAGGAAAGAAAACTTCAAGATCTAAATAACAAATCGCACATTTGAACTGGAACTATCCAAGATTAAGAACAACTTTCAGAGTAACAAAATTCAATCCCGAACTTTCTAGTTGTAAGTGTACCACCAAATCTGGAACAAGCCATGTTTTATACACAAACCTGGGTGGGTTTTGGTACACAAAATAATTTATTCAGCAATAAAATGAATGTTTTAAGAAAATAAATTCGCTTTAGTTTCTCCGATATAGATGCTCCGTTGAAACCTATAAGTGCTTGTATAACCGCGCATAGGCGCCGACAGAGGGGGAAAAAGGGGGCGTCTGTCTTTATTCAACTATTAATCAATGTTAACTTTTTTGTGGACTGACACATTTCAGTGCTTTGATTTTGATAGAAAAATTACCTCTGTTTCAGTTTATAGTGATAACAATTTTCCATGCATGGTATTTTTTTAAATCTATATCATAATCTTAGAAGTTGTAGTTAAAACAGTTGAATAAATTTAAATTAATTTTAAACATATTTCATTAGTTTTGAATACTCGTAATTCTCCATTTAAAGTATCTACATATCACTGGTTTCGTAAACAACAAATGCATATCTTCAGGTCAGAATTTTTATTGAAAAATATTTCTAATGTCTAATAAAAATTATGTTATGATGACGTAAAGAAATTTATATTATTCAGACAAAAATAACTAACATAAGATATCGACACCATAAAATTTATTTATTATTATTTTAAATGCCTGATAAGCTTATTTTAAATTTATAAACCATCAACCTTCCGAGATATTTGAACAAATTTGATATATTTTTCTCAGCATCCTTTACAGTTTTAGATCCTTTAAAATTTTTTGGTGTAAACGGAATAACTTCCTGAAGTTATATCATAAATTTAGAAAAAATCAGCGGACTCGCTAGAGGGGGTTGTGGATAAAAAAAAGAATCACCCTTTAGATTATTACGAACTGCAATGCATACACTCAGTCGGTTCTAGGAAAAAGATTTAATATATTGAATTTGAATGGATTATAATAAAAAACAAAATAAATATAAAATATAGGTAATAATTAATACAGAAAACAACATGTACCATCCTGTTTCTCAAAAAGGAAGCGTTTATAGAATTTTCTCGGTGGATTATTGCAACACTTTATTTTAGACCAGGGCGGGTCTGTCGAAATATCCCACTTCTTGGATGTGAGAAGGGGCAAGCTAATTTTTGCTGGAATACCTTCAGTACAACTCGCATAATAAAAATGTAGATCCCTAGATCTGGGCGAGGTCCGGAACATTTTGAAAATTGCAAAAATGTTTAAATGGAATTTGGTTTGTTGTTTTATTATACTATAATTTTTTTTTACCATAATTAGAATGCCCTCGGAGCAATTAAAATATTAAAGAAAATATCCAAAAAACTTGATTATTTTGCCTTTTTTTCATCAATTATTGGCTATTTTGCAACATCGGTAATAAATTTAAACATTTTTAACTTACAGTATGTTGTGCAAAATTCAATTCTAAAACTTTTTTCCGCTTCAATATTCTTCCAAAATGCATAGGTTCCAAGATATAAGTAAAAAACTCAGATAAAATAGGTATTTTTTTAAATTTTTTAAACATTTTTGCAATTTTGAAAATGTTCCGGGTCTCGCCCAGATCTAGGGATCTACACTTTTATATATGTGTTGTACTGAAGGTAATCCAGAAAAAAATTGCTTGCCCCCTCTCTCACATCCACCTCAAAACAGATCCGCCCTTGTCTATTTAGTTAGTTTAATTTTCCAAGTATTGTAATATTATTTTTTTTCAATTTTTTTACGCATGGAGTTGATTATTCACTAATTAACTAAGCTATATTTTTTTATTGAGTGATTGAAGAGATTTGCTTTTTAAACATTGCACGATTTTATTTATTATGAATTCTCATGTTAGGCGCGCGCCTATGTATTTATTGCGGCATATTTACTTCACTTTGCGCGATATTATTTAAATATGTATATAGGTGTCGTCTGGTTGGAGATAGGGTTGAAAGCAGACGAAATCGATATTTAATAATACATTTCATTTAGAGTAACAACCTCGATATTTTATACTAACCTGATTCCTGGTGGGGTAGTGAAATCTTGTGCCCGGTGGCTCAACAGCCATCCATACCAAGGTAAGAATAATTTGCACGGCAATAAGCGTACAAGTTATTATCACCTGGGACTTAGGGCTGATGTAATTGGGCCTCTGTGCTGACTTAGATGCGGAATCGAATATTCTGGAGATCCTGTTGGTCTTGGTGAGAAGTGCCCCGTATATTATCGAGAATCCGACGCCTACTCCGAACCGCTGGGTGATACAGATTTCGGTAGTTGGCTTTGCTAGGAGCGCGAAAGTATTTAAATAGCATAGGAAAATCCCGAAGAGTAACATATAACTCAGTTCTCGTCCTGAGGCTCGAACTAGCGGCGTGTCGTTATGCTTTATGAATAGGATTATGACGGCGAAGGTTACTAGGATGCCCAGGCAAGAGAATGCTGCCGGGACCAAAGCGTATGGCGTGTTCCAGCGCATGTACTGCAGCTCCAGTGCATAGCAGGACAGTTTGTCTTTATAAGGCCAAAATCCTGGCCCGCAATCTTTACATGTGGATTCATCGTAGACGTACTCGTGTTCCTCGCATTTGTCGCATATCCAACAGCATGTATCCCCCTGAAACAAAAACATTTATTTAGTATAGTCTTTCCGAAGTCAGTTGAACACGTATAAAAACGCCTAGCAATAAAATTTAATGAGTTTCATAGGCGTCCCTAAAAAAGTTTTCTGCTAAAGGTAAAAAATTATAATAGTTTGTATAAAGGGTGTTTCAGAAAGACCTCCCGTAAATTTAGGGGGCGATAGTACGACAAAAAATAAGAATTTTTTGTCTTAAAAACTATATGTCTATCTCCTCTTGTTTTCGAGATACAGAGCGACAAAATAAAATTTTTACGAAAATTTCCAAACGGTGCGAAATATTTTTATGAAATTCGGTATTCCGGGGTTTTTAAGGACGCCAAATACGCTGGTCTAATTATTTTTTGGATATTTCATAAAGGGCGCTAGTTACACTACATTCCTATTACATTTTAGGTTTTAATTTTTTAAGGTTAAGTTTTTTTACCATTCGGGCTCCAATTTCTAATGTACAATTTTATTTTCTAATAATATTGTACTCTTGTTAGAACATCCTAATGTGGACGGTTTTCGAGAAAAAAGGCTTTTAATTGAACTCTTACGGTGAAGAAAATATCTCTCTTTTCTCAAAGTAGGCTTATGTCAAAACTTATTGATGGATGTCTCATAAACAACGCATACATTCTCAGTAATATTTTAAACTCTAATTAACTTTATATCAAAATTTTAGTGATTGTTAGTGACTGTAGTTAGTAATGACTAACTGCCACACACCCCTTTCCCCCCCCTTGGCGACGCCCTTGAATCAGCATGTGGTGCCACCTACTTGATTAGACAGACCGATGAACTACATAATGGCGGCGAGAATTTCGGGTATTAGGGTATTAAGCCGGAAAAGGTAATAGGGTATTAAGCAAATAAATAAGGGTATAAGGGCAAATAATAAGGGTATTAAGCAAATAATTTTTTTTTTCTAA